GTGCCCTTAAGTCTGCAAAATTAGTTGGAAAAGGTGGGGGGGGGGGAGCCAGGCTCAGCAGCCTGTTAGAGGTGATCTGGTGGCTTCTGGTACTTTGCAAAGTGACTCTCTGTGTCCTTAAGCCTGCAAAATTAGTTGGAAAAGTGGGAGGGGAGCCAGGCTCAGCAGTGTGCTATAGGTGATCTGGTGGCTTCTGGTGCTTTGCGAAGTGACTTTCTGTGCACTTAAGCCTGCAAAGTTAGTTGGAAAAGGTGTGTGTGGGGGGAGCCGGGCTCAGCAGCCTGCTAGAGGCAATCTGGTGGCTATTGGTGCTTTGCAAAGTGACTCTCTGTGCCCTTGTCTGCAAAATTAGTTGGAAAAGGTGGGGGGGGGGGAGCCAGGCTCAGCAGCCTGTTAGAGGTGACCTGGTGGCTTCTGGTGCTTTGCAAAGTGACTCTCTATGCACTTAAACTTGCAAAATTAGTTGGAAAAGGGGGGGAAGCCGGGCTCAGCAGCGTGCTAGAGGCGATCTGGTGGCTTCTGTCTAATCTAATTGATTTCAGTGGATGATGACTGGAGTCACTTTGCATATGACTGCACTGCAGATTACTGAGGCTCAATTTTAAACAGTATATCATGGAAAATGAAATTTCTTGGTATGCTTTATTTCTTCTTATTTTCTTTTATATAGTCTACCTTTCCCACTGAGATCCAAGCCGGATTACAATTATGACCAAAAAACCCCCAAAACCTTTCCCATCAATCAGAAGGTAGATTACAAAATATGATAACATCAAGCAATCAGTAAGTGGATTACAAGATAGGAAACATTTGAATCAAAGTTTGGGTGTTAATTTTTCCTATTTAGTTGTAAAGGTTCTTGAATCATTCTCAGAATGTTATTAGTTAAATCAATTTCAGCATAATGAATAATTCAGTGTAGTCCATAAATGTTCAGGAACATTAGTACAAGCTCAAATATAAACCGGCTTCGGCTGGGAGGGTGGGGTAGAAATTTGAAGAATAATAAACAGCTCCTCACTAGAAGCAATCTAAATAAGCTCACAACACGTTCCCAGTTTCTTTCATTTCCTGTTGAAGACTCTCTTTGCGGTTGCTAGAAATGTTTCATCAGGAGGAGGCTTCCTCTGACTGCCGGGTTGGAGAAACTTCTTAATTGTAGGAACATCGCTCATTCTCATTTTAAACGCCTAAAAGGCAAAACAGAGTTCATACCCTGAAAAATAATCCTGCAATATAAAAATAGCACTAAGAATTAAAAATACAAATTCTTTTTTTAAAAGCTGCCTGTCAAAACAAGCTCCTGTTAAAATGAGATTGTACACGAATGCAACTGTGCGTGCTCTCGTGTTGCCATGTCACACAGAACACAATTAAGGATTCCTGGTTTGAAACAAACCCCTATTCCTCATGATGTACGAATGGCAGTACCTGGATAAATCAAATGTTGCCTACTTCGCACATTTCAGGATTCTATACTGTGGTTTAATCCAGGTACAGAATTCCAGTTAGAGGAGAATAAACAAATGCTGATTCACCTTGCTGCCTGGATTCATACATCTTGGGACCTGGAGATAGTTTCTGACTAGGAATTGTATTCCATGCAGGAGTATAAACTGCGAGAGGGGGCACCAGGGCAGTTGGGACACAAAGCCCCCCCCCCCCCCGGATTTCCCAGAGAGGGCAGCCCCCCCCCCGCGGGGTGCCAGGTAGCATCATGAAGCAGCTTAGGCTTAAACTGTGCAGTCTCATTCTTTCCATCTGCACAAATGCTACCAAATCCACTTTCTTTCTATGGGACTTCGGGACATTTACTTGCCACATAGGAGCACCCCTGCACTACATTACCTTATTTTTTTCTCACTTTGCTGCCAATTTTGGGGAAAGAATGCAGTAAAAGATGGCTGTCATGCTGGTCGGAAAGTACCGATTTTCCTCATCTTGCCCACACAGCGGCCATTTCCCCCACAGGGCTTATTCTCTCCCCCTGTCACTGTGGAGCTTTTTAGATTTTTTTAAATTGTCAACTGAATATTGTTACACTGAGATAACATTATAAAATATGTGTATAATAGGCTGTATCAATTCCCAACTTTCATCTTTTAAAGTAAATTTATAGCACCTTAAGTTGAGGAGATATAAGGGGACAGGCCTATCTTCTCAAGAAAAGGGTATATAGACTCACTTCTTTAAAACTGAAAGCTGGGGATTCAGAGGACATTACGCAGATTGCTATACCTTTATACTAGTATAAAAACATTCAATAGCCAATTTAAAAAGAACACAAAATCCCTGATAGTGACAAAGAGGGGGAACAGCTACCAGAGGACCAGAGCAGGGAAACTTGCCATATTGGAAGCCCTGTTGCTGCTGAGTTGTGTTGGCAGTTTCAACTGCAATGAGAAACTACACATGCCTGTCCCTGTATGGAAAACACTGTGTATTCAGACATCAAAACAAGCTCCAACTAAGCCAAGATCTGTACAAATACACCTTATTGTCATGCTTGTGTGTACCTTCCTCTCCCTTCTCACATAGACTCAGGAGCATAGACACACGTCAGTCTCGGGCGGGGCGGGGCGCACATGACTGAATCTAGTTCAGGCCCACTCTTAGTAATCTATATTAAATTATTTAAATATGAAATACTTTATATTTCCCAAAAACATACGCCATCAACAATTAATTGTGTGGTTTTAAAAAATGATTTTACTTGTAATAGTCTGAATTTTAGTCAAAGAAAGATGACTTGTTGAGAGGAAAGATGTCATGAACTCCTTCACTGAGACAATATTTAATTTGTGTGCGAAAGGAAACACTTCCTCCCTCCCCCTTTTTCTTCACAACTTAGGCTGAGTGTGCAACTGGCCCAAGGTCAAGTAGTGTGCTCCATAGCTAAGTGGGGATTTGAACTTTGGTCTCTCCAATCTTAGACCAACACTCTAACTATCCCACTCACATACAGTCTGAAGAAGTGAGCAGTGAACATAAGAACATAAGAGACGCCAATGTTGGATCAGGCCAAAGGCCCATCCAGTCAAACACTCTGTGTCACACAGTGGCCAGAAATACCAATGCCATCAGGAGGTCCACCAGTGGGGACAGGACATTAGAAGCCCTCCCACTGTTGACCCCCCCCCAAGCACCAAGATGACAGAGCATCACTTGCCCCAGAGTCCCTATCTATACCTTGTGGCTAATAGCTGTGACTCACAAAAGCTCATACCCTACCACAAATTTTGTTAGTCTTTAAAGCACTGCTGGGCTCTTTTCTACTCACATACTGGATACTCAATATGAATCTCCAAATGAATCTCAGAACCTGCAGTAAATCCATAGTAAATACTGGTTTCTAAAATACCCTGACCTGAAATTATGGGAGCATTTGTTTGGTTGGAGTAAGGTCCAGGACAGCAGAATTGCCTCACTTTCTATATTTGGTGAACCAGCAAATTGAACAAAGGCAAAAAAATGGCTATTTGCATATCTTCCATTTCTTCTCTAAAGCTGCTAGTTCTAAAATACCAAAATCACCTTAATTCTTCAGGGAAAAGGCATCACAGCTAGACCAGGTATAGGCATGACCTAACTCACATCTCCAAGACAATACTGTCCAGAATCATTTTTGAGTCTAACTGGGAACTTCACAGTGAGTGGGTTGGATCCAGCGCTGGATTGTCTGCTAGTGGAAAGGGGTGGTGATTGTCACTGATCCCCTCCTTCCACTACAATTTGCCCTCATGCTCTTACACAGAGTCTCCTGTCCCCCATAGGCACAGCATTTAGAGGAGAATTTGGGGCTACAGCAGGAAAGGGGAAAGGTAAGGAGGTATCACTCTGAAGATGGAAATCCTGCCCATTTGCAGAAATGACTGCTGTTTCCAATGCAAAATATGAAGGGGGGAAAAGTTAAATAAATGCTATGGTAATAATAAGTAAGGAGCTGCGGTGGCTCAAGTGGTTAAGACGCTGAACTGCAGGCTGTGGAAGGTCAGTAGTTCAGCAGTTCAAGACCCGAGTTGCCGCATGACGGAGTGAGCTCCCGTCTCTAGTTCCAGCTCCTGCCAACCTAGCAGTTTGAAAGCAAGAAATTGCCAGTAGATAAATAGGTACCACTTCAGTGGGAAGGTAACAGTGCTCCGTGCGCCTTGGTGTTTAGTCCTGCCGGCCACATGACCACGGAAACGTCTTTGGACAGCGCTGGCTCTTCGGCTTTGAAATGGAGATGAGCACCACCACCCTAGAGTCGGATTCGACTGGCTTTCGAGCAAGGGAACCTTTACCTTAATAATAGGTGAATACTTCAGAGATATTTTAACAAGGAATAAGCAAAAACCAAGTGAACAGAATGATCCCCCCACCCCCAAGGGATTCAATAAAGTTCTTTGAGACCTAAAGCCAAATTCTTTTACCCAGCAGCCACTTGTATAGCTTTCTTACAATTTTTTGTAATGAAAACCAGTCCTGACAGACTACAACTGGGAGGAATAAAGGGGACTAGAGGTGTGGGGGGAAACTGGAGGTGCTGCTTAACCCTTTGAGCTATTTTTGCTGTTCAAAGTTACCCTGAGCTGTTTGTTATCAATCAATCAATCAATGAGAACCTTTATTGGCATATTGACAGAACATACAGCAGGGAGACAAGGATACATCCTTTACACTTGTAACTGAAACAATCTTCTCGCCTTAATAGCACAACAGAGAAATTTAGCTACAGCTTCTATGATCTCAGGGTTATTTTATTATTTATTTAAATAATAAATAATAGTGAAATGATCTTATAGTCATCAGATTGTCCTACTTGACTCTGATAAAGAGTTTACTTACAGAGATAAGCTCATTAAAAACACACAGGAAACTCGTACATCCAGCTTGTTCCTCTGTCACACAGCTCATCATAGGACAATGGTAAAAAATGGATCACATTAAGAACCTAGAACACAGTGCTGCAAGCCCCCCCTCCAACTTTCAGTGTAATTCAAGCCACAAACTCTGGCTCTCCGCAAACCATAAACTCTGGTTTTTACTATTGTAACATTTCTGAGCTTGCATAGTGTTATGTATTGAGACTGAAACACTGCAGGACGGTGCTGCCAGAGACAGGGTGAGCTTGAAGCTGAAGAACAATAGACCAACAGGATTCTGGCAGTAACCAATCCAGGCGTAATGTTATGTGAATAGCCTATCATTGGGAGTGGATGTGTTTGGGGTGTGGCAATTGCATGCAATATAACTGAGCTGAGGCTCTGGTCTGCAGTCTCGTTCTGGCTGAAATCACTGAATAAAGTAGAGCTGATCACTAGACTGGGAGTCTGTTCATCCATGAAACTATTTAACACGTAGCAAACTTCCTTGTTCTCAGTGGTGTCAGATGCTACACAGCAGCACCAGTTTACTGGAAGTATTGGAAGTCGTGGACTGGGCCCTGCTAAGTGAGAGTTTTCCTCAAATGGAATACGGTTTGCTCTGTCAGAGGAAGAAGCTCACTTTGCAGAAGGGAGTCACTGGATCCAACCTATTGCCAGGCAAACTTTTTCTGAGCCATAGTGAGGGTTTATGTTATCAATGACATCAAATATATGATTATTTGGTCACCTTTTTTTTTTACCTGCAGTAAAGGAAACTGTGAGAGAACGATGGGCTCCTTCTCTTCTACCATGAGTATGGCCTCAATTAGTTGAACATCAGCCCAGGTTAGTTGGTTTCCCACCAGAAAATGCTGGTCGCTATCTTTTAAAACCTATGAGATAAAAGTTTAATGGATGCAAACAGATCACATTCACTCATAAGCACATCTCTAAAGCATTATTATAGCACAGAGGTACTGAAGCCTCTGTGCATACACTAACCACAGATTCCTCAGCCTTCATTCAACCAAATCCAACCACCTTGCTTCTCCACAAGAGGAACTCTATTGGCTCTATTGGCCCATTAGACCAGACCATTCTGCTTGGTGCCCAGAGGCAGATCTCTGTCCAAGCAATTCAGGTTCTGGTCTCCTCCGGGAGCTCATTCCACCAGGCAGGGGCCGCCACCGAGAAGGCCCTGGTCCTTGTGGCGACCAACTTTACATCTCTGGGGCCCGGCAGAGTTAGTAGATTTTGGGCCCCAGACCGTAGTGCTCTTGGGGGAACATACGGGATAAGGCGGTCCCTCGGGTAGGCTGGACCCAGACCATGTAGGGCTTTATAGGTAAGAACCAGCACTTAGACCAGACCATTCTGCTTGGTGTCCAGAAGCAGATCTCTGTCCAAGCAAATCAGGTTCTGGCAGCCCTGCTAGGCCAGCAGTGCAGGAGAAGGCAACAGGCGTGGCTTATGTGTCTCAGCACCTCCTAGACTTGCCCAGCCCCCAGCTCAGTCCAAGTCAGATTCCCGAGACGCAGGCAGCACCATTGGGATTTGGCTGCTTGCACCAAGTTTGTTTGAACAAATAAAATAAGGTGTATATGTCACCTTGTTTGACCCATCAGCATTTTCACAGGTAGATGGTGCATTTTTTTCAGCACATGGGCCAAAACAGGTTTCATCTCTTTGCATTACATAGTTTGCTTCTCTCTAAGTCAAAATGCTACCACCCACTGCCAGCAGTGACATTATTTGTGATGTTTTTATTGAAATATACTGTGATTCAACAGAACATTTTTGTCTATTTGTTACATACTTTTTCATATACTGGGAAGTATCTTTTTGTGGCTCGTTCAATGATCAAATTAAGATTCTTCTCCTTTTCTTCGGGCTCTAGTTTGTAGTGAACCCTGATTAGTCCCATGAGGTCTATTGTTCCTTCCACATACATATCAATTCTGGGAGGGGAAACAGCCACAATGAGTTACACTTGCTATGGTCAATGTTATTCAATCACACCTTATGGCTGCTGTTCTCAAACTGTGGGTTGTGACCTAAAACAAGGTTGTGGCCCTCTCACAAGTGTAGGCTTAAACTCCTGAGCTGGAAGAGAAGACTGTTTCCCTTAGAGGCAGGAAGAGCAGAGAGGACTGAGTTACCTCATTCCCTTCTCCTCTCAGTGGTCCCATTCATTTCCAAGAGCACAGCTTTCTCCAAACTATCAGCAGCATGAGAGGCATTGGGCACGGTTCCCAGAACTCCATCAACAATGGCTAAGTTTGAACCAACCTTTGCCCAGGAGCACTGGATTCCAAAACTAGGGTCTGTTTAGATGTAGGTTCCAATCAATGTAAGCGTCACTATCTTATGGAATTTCTTTTTCATGTATACAACACTCGTTTCTATTTATCTCTGCAGGAGCCCCACTAATCCCACAGTCATAACAAGAGAACTCTCAGTGTTCCCCTAGTCCATGAGATTCCCTGTGACTCTGTTCACATGTAACATCAAGCCAAGATTTGGCTTTATCTGAGCAAACTTGGGACTAGTCAGACCCCCACCTCCCTCAGACTGTAATTTCTTCTCTTCCTGCCTGGTTCAAGGTCATTACATCCGAACAGGCAAACTATTACTTACTTGCTCTCCAAACTAGGACTGCAAATCACCATCACTTGCAATTCTAGCCCTGTGCAGATAACCTATCTGCTCATTCACTCACCAGCACACTGCCACCGCCGCCCCCCCCTTCCCACTGTAATGACAGAGTCATTTGCACAGTACAAATGTGCAGGGGAAGTAACTGTGTTCACAACCCCTCCCTTTGATCAGCAATGTTTGGGAAGCAGTGTTGCTGAACATGGGAGTCGGCACTTCCTCTGTGAGTTTGTACCATGCACAAAATTCCGTGATTGCAGGGTCAGCAATGGTCAAACCCACTATCTCCTTCCATGCAGTGCATCAACACACCAGCGGGTTGTCTGCACAGGTCTTCTAGTTTGCAAGGAAGCACAAACCATACTTTGCTGGTTCAGACAGAATGGCAAACTAAGGGAGGAGGAGAAAAAGAATCAAAATACTCAGAGAGGAGAATGGAATGCCTCATAGGATTCAGGGTGCCTCTGATACATTGCCTCAACTAATCTTTAGAAAAACCCACAAGGTAGGCCAGTATGATTCTCCTCCTCTCTCAGATGGAAAGCTGAAACTGAGAAATAGTGATTGTTAGACTACTCGGGGAGTTCATAGAAGAGGAGAGATCTGGATCTGGCCCTTCTAAGCTTGCTTTCTTGAGGTGAATTTACATGAATTTTCAGTCTGTCTCCCAAAGAATTGCTAACACCGTCACCACCCAGATGAATCACTTTGGATCATTACTTCTTAGAAGGTTAAATAAGGTGGGAGGAGAGAAAGCAATGTGATGACTGATAATAGCCTCAACATGTCAGTTAACCCAGCCTTTTGCTTTCAATTAGAAAGAAAGGGGTGTACACTGCAAGCATATACATACATGCTTCATGCTCAAATGGACATGTTGATTCAGTTGGCCATAGTACAGAAGGCTAAAAACAATCCCTCCCCAAGTTCTTTAAGATTCCATGAGTAAATAGTTTCCACAGTGTAGTGTATCCAGCCCTGACAAGGCCGGGCAAGTCCGTACTTGCCCAGGGACAAAACCTCCAGCTTCGTATCTAAAGACAATGGGCCAGGAGGATCCTAGCCGGCCCTATCAGATGGCTAGGTCCCAAATCGTGAGGCCAATAGGTCTCTTGGTTACTGTAAATAGCCTATCGGGGACTGGGGTGTGTTTTGGTGGTGGGTTTCCAAGGGAATATAAACCGGCCTGCGAGCCGGCCAAGGTGTCTTTGTCCCTGACTAATAAAGGTATGCTTAGCTGAAATCACTCTCCGTCTGCATACTTTTCACACAGTTTACCCCAGTATCGTGTCAGTGCTAATTAATGGCACTTCTTAGCTAAAGCCAAGTTGCTTCTGCAATTTGTATCAAGGTGGCCCTCTTAGAGCCTACCCTAAAGTCTATTTGGTATAGTGCACTAAGTGTACTTTGGACAAGTGCCTTTGGACAGAGGCATTTTGCCTCTTCATTAGATATGAAAGCCATGTAGTTGTTAATACAGTACAGAGCTCTTTCCTTCAAGGTCTTCCCATAGAGGTTGTGTTTTGCAGCTATGTAGTTGAGAATGGCTCGAGTTTGCACCAGCCTCAGTCCATCAATTTCCACCATAGGGACTTGTTGAAAGAGCAGGTATCTATCTGTTGAAAGAGAAACATGTCACACCATTTAGTTTATGCATACCCTTTCAGGGCTCTCTCTCTACACCAAGACAATGTTAAGAGCTTCATGGGCCAGTTGCTCTGTGAGGCAAAGCACCCTGATTTCTCCCCCCCCCCCAAGGGTTAATGTGAACATTACTAGGTCTGCTCTGGCTTGAAGGTGTCCGTAATAAGGCCTCCCTGTCTACAGCATCCTTATCTCCTTCAAGGCCGGATTCAAGAATGTGTTAATTGGCTAATCCTGGGAACCTGTGTCCAGCTCTTTAACTAGGTGGAAGGGGGAAGCAGGAGTAGATGTTGTCATCTTCTAGAGGGTCCCATCAAGCGAGTTCCTTGATTGGGTTTGGGAGACCACTTGATGCCAGATTAATTAAACTGTAGACAAGAGGGAAGCCATGCAACTTCATGATCCGACTGGGCAGTGGCTCTGACTATGCCAAGTCCCACTGCAATGTACTGCTAAATAGACATTGGTTAGGCCTCTAGTTTGGACTGTGATATTCTAAAAGGTGTGCCATTTAATACCAGATATTGAAGTATTAGAGAAGTTAGCTTTTCTTGCTGCAGGATTGTAGAGATTGTGTTGACTAGTGATATCTTATTTCTTAAAATCTCCCTTATATATAAAAGCCGAATGGTGGTGGCACTTCTCTAGAACATTCCACACGCTCCGGAATTGGTTGGCGCCCTGGTGTGTCACTCAGAATCTGTCACTATCCACTGGCTGCATTGCTTGAGTCTTGCCTCCAACATTCTAAACAGTTTGCTGTCCCCCGCCCCCATAGCCAGTCAGAACACAGATTTTATTTGCATATGCAGCCTCATTGGCCTTTGCCTTGGAACACAGAGGTCATTTGCATATGCGACTTGATTGGCTTTTGCCTCTAACATTCTAAACAGTTTGCTGTTCTGAGGTAAAATGTGTCCAATCTCCAGGTGAGGGCTGGAGATTACTCAGAATTACAACTGCTTTCCAGATGGCAGAGATCAGTTCCCCTGGAGAAAATGGTGGGCTCTGTATCCTTATATGCTGCTGAGGTGGCCCCCGTATGACAGCCAATGTGATGTAGCAGTCAGGGCTTCAGAGCATGGGAGAGGCTGCAGATGTGTGGGGGGTAGAAAGCTGAAGAGTGAGGGGGAAATAAAGGTAGGTTGATGATTGGCTGGGGAGGAGATAGAGTTGCCAACTCCAGGTGGGAAATTCTTGGAGATGTGAGGGATGGAACCTAGAGAGGGTGAAGTTTCAGGAGGCGTGGGACCTCGGACAGGTACAAAGCCATAGACTCCACCCTCCAAACCAACCATTCCCCTTCTGGGGAACCATCATTGCCAATCTCCAGGTGAGGGCTG